AATAATAATAATAATAGAATAACTAGAATAATAACAACTGTTACACCAACTGAACATCCTAGAATTATTGACACTGTAATAGAAATGGAGTTTTACATCCTACTGTAATAATAATAATAGAATAACTAGAATAATAACAACTGTTACTCCAACTGAACATCCTAGAATTATTGATACTGAAATAGAAATGGAGTTTTACATCCTACTGTAATAATAATAATAGAATAACTAGAATAATAACAACTGTTACTCCAACTGAACATCCTAGAATTATTGATACTGAAATAGAAATGGAGTTTTACATCCTACTGTAATAATAATAATAGAATAACTAGAATAATAACAACTGTTACTCCAACTGAACATCCTAGAATTATTGATACTGTAATAGAAATGGAGTTTTACATCCTACTGTAATAATGATAATAGAATACCTAGAATAATAACAAATGTTACTCCAACTGAACATCCTAGAATTATTGATACTGTAATAGAAATGGAGTTTTACACCCTACTGTAATAATAATGATAATAGAATAACTAGAATAATAACAACTGTTACTCCAACTGAACATCCTAGAATTATTGATACTGAAATAGAAATGGAGTTTTACATCCTACTGTAATAATAATAATAGAATAACTAGAACAATAACAACTGTTACTCCAACTGAACATCCTAGAATTATTGATACTGGAAAAGACAGAAATCTATGTTTCTTGTTTTTTTAGAAGGAATCAGAAAGAATGATAAAAATGAATTTAGAAGGAAATACATAATTAATTTTATATAGAAAGCCTCCTTATTTTCATTTAATCAGATAATTAGAATCTTTTACGCCGTTGCAATGATCATTTTTGGATAATGTGTATCTATTGAAAGCTGGGTGGTCTTGAATGGAGAGGAAAGTTTGTTATTTCTATTTGACTCGATATGTAGAAATTCCAGCATTTATTGTCAGCGATTGGCCAGTGGGTATTTTATTGTGATGATTATATTTTGACCGGAGGTTGATGACTCAATCTATCTGAACATAACTCACACGGTGTGTTAGCGTCGTTATCATCTTCATCATCTTCATCATCTTTTATCTTCACAATATCCCCTGTAGTCCTCTGATTTCTTGTGGACATGGTAGTTGAGGAGGGTATGTTTGTTTCTTTATCCTGCTTAGAAACATTGTCTACTGTTTGAGACACGACAAACGTATTTGTTAATTTCGCAGTATGTCCTGTTGTAGATTGTAATGTGGTTATTGATGCTGTTTCAGTGTTCTTATTTAGAGTCTGACATGTAGCTGCTACAGTATAATCTGAAAAAGCGAGATGAATAATATAGAAAGAAATGTAAATTGTGTGATAATATAAACCTTCCAAAATTATATCAGTACTGCATAGTATTCAAAGTATAGCAGTCGTTGGTCTTACCTTATAAAGACCTTTTTATCTTAAATCGTACAGCAAATGTATATGTTATACTTAAAAGGAGTTTGCTATCCCGAACGATATCTACTATTTGTTCAGAGATTGACGAGGCTTGATGTTTAAGATGAGAGAACTTATCAGTGATTAACCTTTCAACATTTCCAAGGAATTGCAGATTTAAAAATACTTTTTGGAAATACTTTTTAGTTGAGGATTTTTTTTATTTAAAACTTTAAGATAAGTCCAGGGTCATATTTCTATAGAATTTTCAATGAAAATATATTTTTCATTACTATTATTTTAGCAAGAATAGTCGAATTGATTGATTTATGTGTTGGAGGGCACAGTTTCGACTTCATTAGAAATAATAATGTTTAAAACAATCGATTATACTCTAAGAATTTAGAATGATTGTCAGAATAATCTTTAATGTTTTTTAAGAATGCCATTGAGTATTGACAATCTTTTGTATATTCGCATTGGGACAATGTGATGAAGTTTTGCCTAGAGTCATTTGGTCCGTAGGTTTGTATTCCATAATATAGAGAAGCTTTGCTGGTGAACTATCTTGAGTAGTTAATTTTATTGCTCAGAGTGTTATGAAAATCAGATATTACCTGGTGACTTTGTTATGACGTTCAAATTAAAACACAAGTCTCCAGAACCAATCTTTTTTTTATTTTCCATCCGAACATATAGAGTACCATTCCAATCCATGTTAAATGTAGAATTCTCGTGCTTGCTTTCAACTTTAGTAGTATTACCATCCAACCAATATATACTGTCGTTACAGGAAACAGGAAAATGGGTTATACTGATATTTGTATTTAAAGGATTTAAGGTATCCCTAAGTTTGTGTAAAGTTATTTGACATTCACATGGTACTGTATCATTATTATAACCAGAGAGAGTTACTCGTCTTACAGGTTTCCTGTTATTACTACTACAAACAGAACCTATCAACAAAATAAAGACAGAGTTAGAGAATTATTCCCGAATTAAGTTGAAAGTTTGTTGAAAATGAAATGGATTTATATTGACAATATCATTTATTTCGTAGACAATAAAATGTTAATATTTGTATTTAAATTTTGCAATGAGGTTACTCTATATGTTTGTAAAGTTATTTAACATTCACATGGTCCTGTATCATTATTATAACCAGAGAGAGTTACTCGTCTTCCAGGTTTTCTGGTTTTTCTGCTACAAATATTACCTTGAATTAAAAAGTTCAATCTATTGATAATGCTGTGTGTGTACAAATGAAAAGTTAAAAATCGAGAATATATATTTCGTACTTGACATTCGAGAGTATCTTAACATAAACAATGATGGATGGTAAATAAATCAACTAGTTACTTCCCGTGCCAGATAAGCATCAAAATAATATCTACAGGGGAAATCTGATAAAAATGCAAATCAGGACGTTTCATGACGTGTTTTCTATGAGTGAATCAACTTGTTGTAATAACATGTAGAATAAAATAACAAAAAAGGGACAATCTATGTGTGTATTTTGAGCGTTTTGTCATTATGATTAGATGAAGAGCCGAAGCAAAAGCTCTGTAGACGTATATCTATGCTAATAAGATTGTTAAATTTCAGGGAAATGGAAACCAAACGGTTGCTGATAGTGCTGAAAGTGGAGAAAACCTGAACAACTTACCTAATTGGACGAAATGATAGCTTCCTACTAATAACAGGTATAATGTTAAAATATATAACATCATATTTTTTACTGTTAGAAAAAAATATTTAATCTCCTTCCACCATTTAATACGAGATCATCCCTTTAATAATAATAGGTTACGCTCAATGTCTTTCGAAATCAATACATGTATCTTATATTTACACACTTGTGCAAACCTTATGTGACACTTTGTATAAATAATGAAGTTTCATACATGATTGAATAATTTCCCTACAGACACTAGATATCCTTACTTCCTTGTTAAAAGACCGTGTTCTATTAATAAACTGTCATATCAACAGGTAAAATATCTCTATACAGCACGACAATAAACTAAAATTCTTCTGTAATAACGTTTAATATCCTAAACTGTATAGAGACTCATAATCTAAAATCCCACTTTAATTCATACTAGTATTAAATGGGCAAGTCTTGAAACGCATTGAATTTTTGTGTATCGCGATATAGAAAACTTTTTTATAGGATCAAATATCGTGATATAGAAAATGTCCCGAAATCAACTCTTTGTCATGTTATGAATGTTTAGTCTAATATAAACTGGTGCATGAGGCCCAAAATCTAAGGCACATTGTCAAATTTTGATATAAGTAACCCAAACAATTTGGTAACGAGGCTGTTAAATGTTGTATTCCCGTTGTAATGTTTGTAATAGTTATAGTAATATCATTTCCCTTATCAAACTCTAGCGTTTACCAAAATGGAAGAGTATCAGATATAGGTGGTTTAAACATGTAAGGAACACATCATGAACAGCTCTCGAACAACCAATACATTGTAGCAAGGGAATTCATGGGCTGAAAGAGGTTGGGTGTCTGATCTCTGGCCAACTTTCATAAAATGCCAAAAATTGCTCTATTGAGGTTCATCAAATGGCTATAGGCTTACTTGAAGAAGTTAGCTACGATTGAGATACATTGACCCGGGTCATAGAAAGTTGTCTAATGGCAAGCCTTTAAGGAGCCATGTTACATAATTTGTTTACAGGTTTCATTTTGGCCTATTTTATAAAATATAATCCAGGAAGAGTTTCGAAAACTGATTAGCATAAAATTACCTACTGAATTTCAAAATAAATAGTCGAGGTTGGACGACGTTTAACCAACTGCTAAAATCTTATGATCATATAGTCTTTTTACGATAATATCGTGACGGTATACCGGTACATAAATAATGCCATATCGAATATTCCGGTTTTTTACTCATACCGGTTTTTTCGATAATATCGTACCCAATTCTATGGCAACTTTGGGCCACCATACTTAACCTATTAAAACTGTTAAATTTTACAGACGTCATTGCTCAAGAACAGATTGGTATGATACCTGAAACTATTTCTTTTCAGATGACCGTTCGATATATATCGGGGCTCGCATAATGTGGAATGGAACAGATTTCGTTTGGACAACTGGTGGAACGGTATCCAAGATGTTCTGGAATTCTGCTGAACCGAACGGTGCTTCTGGTACAGAAATGTGTGCTTCAGTGTTACCATATGGTCTCTTTGATGATATACCGTGCAACAGAAAATTCAGTTTTATTTGTCAAATATTAACTAAATAATACAACACAAATGACTGTTTTATTTGTCAAATATTAACCGAATAATACAACAAACAGGACTGTTTTATTTCTCAAATATTAACCGAATAATACAACAAACATGGCTGTTTTATTTGTCAAATATTAACTAAATAATACAACAAACAGGACTGTTTTATTTCTCAAATATTAACCGAATAATACAACAAACAGGACTGTTTTATTTGTCAAATATTTACTAAATAATACAACAAACAGGACTATTTTATTTGTCAAATATTAACTAAATAATACAACACACAGGACTGTTTTATTTGTTAAATATTAACCGAATAATACAACAAACAGGACTGTTTTATTTGTCAAATATTAACTAAATAATACAACAAATAGGACTGTTTTATTTGTCAAAATTAACCAAATAATACAATAAACAGGACTGTTTTATTTGTCAAATATTAACTAAATAATACCACAAACAGGACAGTTTTATTTGTCAAATATTAACTAAATGATACAACAAACAGGACTGTTTTATTTGTCAAATATTAACTAAATAATACAACAAACAGGACTGTTTTATTTCTCAAATATTAACCGAATAATACAACAAACATGGCTGTTTTATTTGTCAAATATTAACTAAATAATACAACAAACAGGACTGTTTTATTTCTCAAATATTAACCGAATAATACAACAAACAGGACTGTTTTATTTGTCAAATATTTACTAAATAATACAACAAACAGGACTATTTTATTTGTCAAATATTAACTAAATAATACAACACACAGGACTGTTTTATTTGTTAAATATTAACCGAATAATACAACAAACAGGACTTTTTTTTTGTCAAATATTAACTAAATAATACAACAAATAGGACTGTTTTATTTGTCAAATATTAACTAAATAATACAACAAACAGGACTATTTTATTTGTCAAATATTAACTAAATAGTACAACAAACAGGATTGTTTTATTTGTCAAAGATAAACTAAATAATACAACAAACAGGACTGTTTTATTTGTCAAATATTCACTAAATA